AGGTGGTGCGTGCCCTCGACGCACCCCACCTGAAACAACAGATCTTGGAAGAAGGGCACAACTCCCCATACTCAGTTCACCCAGGGGGTGACAAACTATACCAAGATGTGAAAAGGTCGTTTTGGTGGCCCAACATGAGAAGGGAAATCGCAGATTTCGTGGCCAAATGCCTGAATTGCCAAAGGGTGAAGGCCGAACGATGCAAACCCAAGGGACTCGTACAACCCCTTGAGATACCACAAGGAAAGTGGGATTCCATATCCATGGACTTCGTCGGAGGGTTACCCCCAACAAAAACCGGCAAGGATAAAATTTGGGTCATAGTGGACCGACTAACCAAAACGGCACGATTCATTGCCATGAAGGAAACATGGACAATGACACAACTAGCCCAAGCCTACTTGAGCCGAATAGTGAAGTACCACGGAGTTCCCCGGAACATCGTGTCCGATAGAGACTCTCGGTTTCTCTCACAATTCTGGAAATCGCTGCAATTAGCCTTGGGGACACAACTAAAGCTGAGCACCGCCTTCCACCCCACCACTGACGGCCAAACCGAGAGAACCATTCAGACTCTCGAAGACATGTTAAGAGCCTGTGTGTTAGACTTTCAAGGGACATGGGAGGAACACCTAGACCTTATTGAATTCTCATACAACAACAGCTACCACGCAAGCATTCGTATGGCACCCTACGAAGCTTTATACGGACAGAAGTGTAGAACCCCCTTATGTTGGGAAGATATGGTCGACCCAGTAGCACTAGGACCCCAATACCTACAAGATACCATAACCAAGGTCAAACACATCCAGGAAAGGATGAAGGCTGCACAGGACCGCCAGAAGTCCTACGCCGACCTAAGGAGGAAACAAGCCGAATTCAACACCGGGGACAAGGTCTGGTTGAGAATCTCGCCCACACGGGGGGTAATGAGATTCGGAAGAAAAGGGAAACTCAGCCCACGATTTATCGGCCCCTATGAAATCATAGAAAGAGTTGGGAACCTAGCCTATCCCCTCGCTCTACCCGTTGAACTAGAACGAGTACACAACATATTCCACATATCCCAGCTAAAGAAATACGTGCACGACCCAAGCCACGTGCTTCAACCCGAGGTCGTGGACCTCGACGAGTCACTAGTATACGAAGAAAAACCCGTGAGAATCCTGGACACAAAGACAAGAACCACCCGACGTTGAGCCATAGAAATGGTGAAAGTCCTCTGGACCAACCATGGGACCGAGGAAGCGACATGGGAACTCAAGGACACAATGAAGGAACGCTACCCCGAACTTTTCACACCAGGTAACTAAGAAGAAGTCACTCGACAAGGACCAAGCTTCGGGGACGAAGCTTCCTGTTAAGGGGGGAGAATATAACACCCCGTGTTACGATCCCTAAAACCAATTAATCATTTAACAAATTACCCAAAAGAAGGAATTAAAACACAATAATTAATTAGGAAAGGCCCACCATAGTCCATGGGACCTTATCCCTAAACCCAATCCTTAGTTCCAAAAGGAATAGAATTAGCAAGCCTATAATATTACTTCCTAACCAGGACTCCTAAATATATAAATAGGGGACTTAAGAGGCACCTAGAACCGCCCCACCACAATAAACGACTCACCACCCCAAAGAGCTCCAAGAATTCCCTTAGAAGAAATCAAGAAAGCAAGAAAGCTTAAAGAAAGACCCTTCATAGCTAAGGAATTAATTAAGGCTAAGAGGTAACCCATGTCTCAACAAAACCTATTTTCATAGCTATGATTCCCCTCTTAGGATTTCCCCATATTATTGTGTATTGATGATTTGTGATGTTATTGTTGATGATTGGTGGGATGATTCCATGGATGATCTTGATGATGAAAGGTTCTTGATAATTATGGTGTTCTTGATGATTATATGATGTTCTTGATGATTATATGATGTTCTTGATGATTGTAGGATGTTCTTGATGTTTATGTGATATTCTTACCGAATCTTGATATTAGAAGATGAATTGTGTCCTTGTTGATTTAAAAATGATTAGAACCCTAGGTTGTATCGTATGGAATTATTCTGGGTATATTGGGTGGGAATTCGCATGATTGGGTGTTGATTATGTTTAGAAAAGCATGATAGGTTATGTGCCATATGTTTCTCGGTCTTTGATCCGTTAATTGTCTACGTGTGTTATCAATTGCGTTTGAAAGTGTCTAAGCATGGTTTCGGGTTCCACAAAGGTTCCCGAGGCGTTTTTGGTGAAAAAGAGTCAGTGGGGGGTAGGTGGGGGTAGGGGACCCGCCACCTACCCGCGGCCTTCTTGGGCAACGCCGGCAGCGGGCAGCTGCCCGCCGGGCACCCGCTGCCCGGAATAGCTGCCGCCGGCGGGTGATCCCTCACCCACCGGCTACCCGCTAGTTTGTACCCCACCTTGGGATTTTGGCTTCCCCGTTTGATGTTCCCCCGACCCCCGTGGTATCCCAACGGACTCCGTCTATCGTGCCTATGTCTAGTTTGATATTTTGGGTACCGTTCGTAGGTTGTATGAGTCTTATATATGGCATGCTAGTTGAATTGGTATCCCGTTGACCTAGGTGAAAGAAGTATGAACCCCTTAGGATTATTCTTAGTATGTGAAGAATCACGCATAGGTTTTGTTATACATTTTCTCCCCCTCCCCAATGTGTTAATGTGGGTTGCATGTGCTTGCTATGTGTTATGTGTGCATGATACCCCAATTCGGTTGCGATCGGATTGGTTATTCCTGAGCTGCGGTTCAGAAGCTGGCTGCGGTCAGATTTACACTCTTGGGCTGCGGTCCACCGTTTGGTTGCAATCAAACATTTCTACATGAGCTGCGGTTCATATTTCCTGGCTGCGGTCAGATGACATACTCTTGGGCTGCGGTCCACTATTTGGTTGCGATCAAACTATGATGAGCTGTGGTTCATCGGTCGATTGCGATCGACCCCTCCGTGTCGCGATACGGGGCAGGGTGCTGCGGGGCCGTGTCAGAGCTATATGCACTGACCCTCATGTATGGGCATGCGATTGGTCCTGTGGCACCAACAAAGTGTGCTATGTGATGAGATACGGATGAGTTGTTGTTATGAGTACCTTGGGGATGTGACTATGGGTTTTATACTGGGAATCGTATATGTTGGATTATGATTATTAATTGTGCTTATCTTACCTGTCTTGCCAGTTGTAAACTGTATATGCTTGGTATAACTGCTGTCTATGCTTAACCCTATCTGTTGAGTCTATCCCTGTTTCAAAAGCTAGAGTTCGTAGGATATATCTTCATGTTCAAAATGGTTTTCGTATATCTATATATATATATATATATATATATATATATATTTATATATATCTATATGTATTGTATTTCAACGCGTTGGAGTGGGTTACCAGCATCTCTCGCTGAACAGATATATTTGGCTTTCAGGCACAGAAGAGTAAGTCACTGGAGCGCGCTAGAACTTGGAGCGTAGAAGTAGATAGTTTCCCTTTCGGCCTGCGTGCCATGTCTATGCGTTTACATTATTGAGGATATTAGTTAGTTAGCCTGTGCACCTGAGTTCTCTAGCTTAGGTGTGGCATAGCACCCCGTACTCTTTGTATCGTATTTTGGGATTTAATGAGATTCTATCTTTATTATATAAAGTTTTAATAGTTTTGAAAATCTGGGGTGTTACAATTACAATGATTATGGTTTATAATTAAGGATAGTGAATAATCCATAATCATCATAAAAAACAATCTAAATAAATTTCCTTTATATCTCTCATGGCTCTCAACTAAATTTATCTTTCTCTCTGGAACCAAACCCTAACATAAAAGACATCAAGAAGAATATGAAATGTGAAGATAATCCTAGAACAGGCCAGAAGTCAGTACGAAGCAAAATGATAGATGAAGAAAAAGAAAGCACTATGTATTAGCACAAGAAAAGGGTGGCTGGAGTAGTAGAAAGATGATGGCATCAATTTCTTTTAGGAAAGGTATTTCACTTGGCGCAACGCATAACTTGCTATCCCAGGGTTAACAGAAAGATGATGGCATCATTTTCTGATATGGATGTCAACCTCTTTATCTTTATTTAACCTTTATGCGTGAGTCTTTCACATATCTTATCCTCTGTAATAGGGACGGGCAATATGAGCAAAATAGAAATACAGTAAAAAACACCATGATAGGAGTGCCCGCGTTGGTAGAACACCATTTACTAACACTCAAACCTCCCAGAAAACTTCATTCAAATGCTAAAATTTACAATAGACAACATAATTGTACATAATTGCATACCAGACGCAAAGAGACCAAATCGGCTTTCCTTTTGGTAATCGGCAAAGACCAAATCCGCTTGTGCTTCTCCTTTCGAATTTCGCTTTGGCTGTGATGTTCCTTTCGACGCTTTTGCTGTGCTTCTCCTTTCGAGACCAAGTCCGCTTGTGTTGCTGTTGTTTGCTGTGCTTCTCCTTTTGCTGTGCGTCTCGCTTGTGTTTGAAGAAGACCAAACATTAACTGCCATTCAATTTCACTTAAATTACAAATTTATCACTGTCACTTCAAGTTGACGGAACCTGTTTAATTTAACATTCTTACTTTGCTAAAACTAAGAAGAATGGGGCTATATTAGGTTTTTAATTTTGGCATTGTATACTTAGAAGAGCTCAAAGTACAATCGTTTAGAGCATATTGTTATACCGACATTTTTTTAGTTCCCGTTAAGGGTCTAACAATATTCACTCTTATTACAACAAAAAAAAGTTTTAAAAACGTTCGTGGAAAAAAAAACACACGAAATTTTGAAAAAAAAAAATGAAAAGAAATTTGTCCTATATTTTTGACTTAAAACAAATCTATTGCTGGTTAGGCAGTCCATTCCTAGACTTTAGTAGTACGGTAAGAGGAAAGCCCACACGTATCTTTTTTTCTATTTCCATTCCTTGTGGTTTTCGTTTTTATTTTTTTAAATTTTTTAAATTTTATATTTCTATTTTATTTTATTTTTTACTCATTTTAAGGCTAACTTCTCTCCCTGCTCCGCCGTCTGTTCCCCGGAAATTTATCTCTCCACCGTTGCTTCGCCATCCACTCGCTCACTCCTTCCGCTCTCAACTGCAGCAATACTGCAATCCGCCGGACGACGTACTACTTCCATCGGAAGTTGACAAAGGAAGCAGAAGATGGAGAGCAAATTCTGTGATTCATTCCGCTAAAGCTAGGTTTTGAATCGGACTTCAAATCGAACTGTATGATTGATATTTTTTCCTTGTTCACTCTCATTATACGTTATTTCGTACACAGATACTCTGTGGCTGCATAGCTAACATGCAATACATACATATCTACTCATCGTTATGAATTTTTGATTGTTTCTTTTAATTTGGTTATTGCAATTTTTTTTTTCTTCCGAGGAAACGAAATTGTTTTTCCCTGGGTTTCCAACGGATGCTTTGCGATCAAGAACATGAAATCACGAGTATAAGGGAAAATAATAGGAAAGAAGTAAGCGGTTAGATGAAGAAGAAAAACTGACCTGTTTATCTCTGCTCTGCTACTGTTACAGTTACTCCAGTTCTGGCTTCATTTTTTTCTTTTTGAATTTATTATCATTTCAGCTTCTTCTTTTTTTTTTTTTTTTTTTTTTTTTTTTTTTTTTTTTTCATGGATTTTTATACATGGACTGTTTCAAAGGTAGGAGTTTATCCTTGTCTGCCATTAAAAATGTAGCATCTCCTATTTGCCAATGAAACTATTGTTTTGCAAGATCAGCAAAGATGAGCTGAGATCTCTAAGAGTGATGTTTCTGCTAGTTAGGGAAGTTAGAGGTCTGCATATCAACTTTGTATGAACTATATTTTTAGTTGGGGAGAGGGCTGGGGTATTAATTTCATGTCTATTTTGGCTTCTAACATTGGAACAATCCCCACTACTTTATCCACTTTGATGTTCCTCACTAACTTCAATTCAAAGTGAGTGTGGGATATTATTCGGTAGAGAATTGCATCCTGGAAACATAATTAGCCATCAAGTGAAGGCCATATCAGTTTGATCAATAGTGTTCAAATGGCATTTGATAATTTGGTATTGTAACATATTATACTATTATCTATCATTGCTTCTGTGGCTGCATACTAGTGAAAAGATTATCACTAGTGCAAGACTTTCATCTGACATGAAAGAAATATGAGATTCAAAGTGGGTTAAGAGGGAAGCACGGAAGTGCAAATTTTACCATATATCCTTCTCATGTTTCTTAAGTTGTGTTGTTTCTATAGGTTGGTATTCTCACAGAATTGTGTGCTTTCAAGTCATGGAGGGCAATTCGTCCTTACTTTTAGAAGACACTTACTAAGAAATCTTAATGTGTACAATACATTTCAAATTAAAATATAAATAAATTAATTAAAGAAGTAGAACAACCACTAGAGCTATTTAGAAAAGCCAAATTAGAAAGTAAAAGGAACATGTGCTTGCTCCATTTCTAAGACCTAGCCTCTCCATGTGAATGCAACATGATTTTTTTTTTTTTTTTTTTTTTAAAATAAAAATATTTATTTTATTTATTTTTTAAATTCCCTAAACATTGTCTAGCTCTGCCATACATAATTATTTACGAGATAAAAGAATGAGCTTTAGCATATTCTCATACTTTAGTACTGATGTTATACTTTCAACTGGAGCTAATTATTTTTTCCCATCCACCCATCTTGGAATTTATAGCATCAGTATTATTCAGCATCTAGAGAATGCAAACAAGTCTAAATAGAGACATGGTGAGTTGTATTCTATGTTACATTGGTGCATTAGGTTTTCTCCTCATGGCTCTGTATTGCTGCACTATGATTCAAGTTTCCTGATCTTCTACAGATCAGCCTTAACCTTGGAGAGATCTTTCAATTCTTCTTTCATATTTCTGTCTTTCCTTGTTATCTGCTAAAGGGAAGTAGAATATGATGATGATTTTTTATTTTATTTTATTTTATTTTTAATTTTTTAAAGTTTCATTTATGTTTCTTCTGATACAATCTCATATCTTCTGATTTATTTACATTTCTACCGATAAAATAATTGACTAGAGTCTAGAGTCATATGGTGTGGTAAACATGAATAGGCTTTTCTTTGCAGCTTTTATGTTCTTCTAATTTTCCTTTTATTTTCATTTGCAGATTTAAAATGGAGCTCCCTTGTGAGGCTGAAGTCCCTCCTATACTGCAACTAAAGAAATGGGACCCCTCTGAATACCAACTTGTACTTTCAAAGTTCCGTGAAGGTTTTTTATCTCCAACAAGGGAGATTTTGCTATTGCTCTCATATCATTACGAAGCTCTACTGCTTCCTCTGGCCAGAGGTGAATTATCGAATTCATTTGCTTCACTTGCAATATCATTGGCAAGTCCTACTGCTAATGGATTTCCTGTTTTCTCCACAGATAAAAGTATCAAGTATCCAGAAAATTGTAATTATGGAAACTCCGAGGATTCAACTTCTCTGACATCAAGGATGCCGACATTTGCAGTGCCTTGTTCAGCAGAGCTGGGGGATGATATTCCAAGCACTTCTAAGTCAATTGAAATGGATGGTATTCATACCCTGGAAAGTGATACTAGAAAGTCTAACAAATACCCTTTCATCCACGATGTAAACTCCCTGACCTGGGGTATATGTGAAGACTCTTATAGTCAGTATGAAGACAAACCTTTTAGAGAGCTCCTATTTGTAGTTGGCAATCATGGGGTAACAGTCCATGCATTTAGTCAATCTTGTACATATGAAGAAGAAATGGGATCCACATCAGAAAATGATACTGGACAAGGATCATGGGTGGAGTGGGGACCTGGATCTCCAGCAACTTTATCTCAGGAGTTGGATGGACAGCAAGAGTCTGGCTGGCATTATGATGATTCCTTCGATGTTTTTGACATAAGCAGCAATATTGCAGCAGAGGGAGGACCATATAGCATGTGTACAGAAGTAACAAATGATTTGCCATTTGAGAATATTTCTGAAAAAAGATGGCTGCGTACATTGCTAACAAAAGTTGAAACATTAAAGTCTGATGAAGTAGTATATACTAGATTCCCAGACAATTCATTATTTGATCCCTCTGCTATGGCGGTCTCTTTTCGCCTTTTTCATAATGATTCACTGCTTTTGGATTTTCTATCTCATGGCTGTTCTTCATCACAGGAAAAAGACAGTACCAATTTGTCAATTTTAGATCCTCAGAACAGCACATCTGCAGATTCCATGCCCATCACTGTAGGTTGTTACAGATGTTTGAGAGTCTTCTCTAATGGTTCACAATGCTTAATTGGGTTTGCCTTGACACTGACCGAATTTGTGCCTCAGACAAATGAAAGAAAAAACAGTAAAATTTTAGTTGCTGTGGCAAAGCTACTCAGTTGGGGATTAAAGTGGGTTTTTACAGTGGCACTAGATGAAAATGTTGAGAGGCATGCAGCTGCTGAGTGGACAGACTTTAGGTTTTCCTGTGCTCTTCTTATTTGTCTTAATGCCTCTGGCTTAATATATTTTTATGATGCAAAAAATGGTTTGTATGTGGCCTGTCTAGATCTTTTACATATTTGTGGAGATTTATCTGTGAAGATTGATGGGAATTGTGTTGAAGACAAGGATTATATTCAGCTACCTAATAAGGCCGGTAATCGTGTTTGTCAAAGCAGGTTTGAAAGGCTTTTTGTCATGTTGAATGCCTTAACTTTAGTCGTGATTGATAAACATGGTGTTAGTTATGTAATACAAGCTTCTGATTATATCCCAAGGAAGTATCACCAACTTGAGAACTTGCTTCCATATTATGAAGATATTGGACTTGGACCACTGGCAGCATGGGATGTAGGTGCTGCTGACATTGGCTACCAGAGGGATATTTCAGGTGAAGGGAATACTGTTACTAAAAAGTCTTCTTTTACTAGCAGTGCACGGAATAAGGGTGTTAAGAGAAGCCCAGAAAGTAATTTTAAGGAGCCAATTGTAAAAAATTGGTGTGAGTTTCTTGGCTGTAAGCTACCATCGGGCCTTATGAGAAAATTTTTCCTTCCTATTTATAAGTTTCATGAAGATGATGTTATTTGCTTGTCACCTTTTGGAATAACTCGGCTTCTTAAAGGACGGAACTCTCAAGATAAAAGCAAATGCCGACTTGTTCATTCTAGTTTGCATGTAGATTTATCTCTGAATGATGACAACAGCTACAATGTCCAAGGTTGTGAGGCTATTGTGAATGAAGCAATTGGTTGCACTTTTCAAGGTTGTTTGTATTTGGTGACAGAAAATGGTATTTCTGTAGTCCTCCCTTCTCTTTCAATTTCTTCAAATTTCTATCCTATAGAAGCTATTGGATATCGTCAATCAGGCTATCTTTATGGTCTTGAGTGTGATTTCGATATATTTGCAAAAATTGAAAGAGTTAAAAAGCCTTTGTCATCATGGAAAGTAGAGATTTTGGATAAAGTTCTTTTGTATGAAGGTCTTGAACAGGCAGATCAGCTATGTTTGGCAAATGGTAAGAGTCTCTTGAATTGAGGTTCCTCATTTTTGTCTTAATTTGTTTAAGTGTGGGTAAAAACTTTGGAAATGGTATTTTTTCTTTTAGTGTTCATGCTCTTCCATTTTTCCTGACATTCATGATCATATATCCTTCTAATATTTTCTTTCCATTCTCTTGCCAAATTATGTTATTAAAATTTTACTTACATGGATTTTTTTTCCATTCTGTTGGAAAGTTAGAATTTATGTCTTTATGGTAGCTGGTAGTGCCAAAATCCAAAGAATGTGCTTGTTTTTTTTTCCCTGGATCAAAAGAACCTTAACAGTTTGTTTTGAAAAAAAGATAAAGAGTGAATTAGTTATTAACCAATGAGATTGTTTTGTATGATTTTAAAGACATTTGTATTGTATACTTTAAATAAGATGAGCATGTGGTATATTCCCATTCCTTGCTCTGGGTACATTTGTATTCCTGCATCCTTGCTGGCGCACTAGTTTTTGGGGAATGCTTTTCTTTCTTGCCATTTTGAGGTCCTAGAAATTCCTTAGGAATTACAAGCACCCTCTAGAAGAAAACATAAGGGATCCACAGTAATTATAAATTGGATTTGTCCATCTGATATACCTATAGATTCCAGGTCAGTTTTGCAGAATACTAGCAGCAACGGCATTTAGGATGGACCTTTCAGATTGTTGAACATATGAATGGTTTTTTGTTAATGATACTTTAAGAATGTGAACCTAGTGCTTTTGGAGATTGTCTTCTTATAACACTTTGTTGGGATTTCTGTAAATGTAGTGCTGCCAAAACAAGCCCATTGGTTTGACATTAATGCAAAAAGTTATTCTATAGAGTGTGTCCTTAACTCCTTACATTGTCAGTTTTCTTTGTTACATGCACCTGGCGGTGAGAGAATTTATCATTGCCACAATATGGTTATGGAGGCTAGAATGAACTATGAAGAGACTTAGGATGTCGTTTGTCACTAAGGCACTAAGCTGACCCGCCATCATCCTACTGATGTGGATTGGGCTTTTTAGGTTGGGTGTGGATGTCAAGGATTAAGGAAACATTTGCTCAACCCTCAACTTTATTTGCCATATATATGCCCATGCTTTTAAGACCTAGGTTTTCCCATTTATTTGAATATTATAAAATTCATATTTCTCTGCAAGTGTTAAGTTGATTTTATGCTTCATTCACTTTGCTTAAAAACACAGTGGGGAAATAGGAGTGTTGGGGAATTTTTTTTCCAGTGTTTAGTTAGTATTGAGAATGTTTTACACTTTTTTGGTTAGGGATATTTTTGGGATACAAAAAATGCAAAAAAGATATGTAGAACTTTTTATGTGTCTTTTAAAAGTGAGGTTTCCAGAGAAACTATTTATGCACTTTTCTGTCTCGGTGACAACGTAAATTATAAAATATTTTAAACATAAAACATGTTACATATGTTTTATGCAAGTGAATAGGGCTGTTTTGGATTAAAAATATTCATATACGGAGTATTATATTTGAACTGGAGACCTTGTCAGTGAATTGAAAAGTTTATTACTTTTATGTATTGGTTTTTTAATTTTTGCAGTTGTGATGCTTAGGTCATAGTTGATGGATATTTAAATGATTTCTCAAAATGGTTTAAAGATGATTTAGTTTTTCTGGTAGATAAATAATTGAGTTTAAATGTTTAATTATACTTGATACTGAGCTTTGATGTTTTACCATATTCTAAAATTGAGTGATTATGGTAAAAAGGTATATGGGAGTTGAGTGGGGTACCTACCACTTGTGTTCAGGTGTTGTTTTTTCATGAATCTCATTGCTAGTGGGTGATGGGTTTAGAAGGTTGACTGGGTGAGTCAGGTGTGGATTTAATGAAACCTGATCTATTGCCGTACCTTGAAGAGACTAGAACAGTATGTGGACATTAAGCATCTAATCTGTAGTGCACCTCAAGTCTATAGTTGATACTTCAACTACTAAAGGTCTCTTCTTTTCTGTTGAAGGATTGCATGGTGGTGAATTGGAAGAAAGAAAGATACTCTATAAAAGCTTAGAGTCTTACTTGCTTATAGATGCTAAATGTAATCACAGCATCCAAAATTGTGTTTCGCTATCTACAGAAATTAATCATGGGAACTATTCCAAATACTGATGAGATGATTGATTGATTGATTCTACAAATCTTCATGATAACAGATAACTGATATTGATTTTCTTTTTATTTTTTAGGATTTGTTAAAAATAACAAAAGCTAACTCTGACAATTTGAATCAATGACTTGGTGACACTTAATTTTGCTGTCAAGGTCCATGTGTTCTTACTAAACCAAAAAATTCTCACTCCTTTCACAAAAAAATGTGTTGTCTAAAAACAAAAAGAAAAGAATTTTGTAGGAATAATTTTGTGAAAAGAAAGCATTATTTAGCATTTTGTGCAACTGCATTTCTCTGTCTGTTGTCTGTCTGTCTTATATTTTAATTTTATTTTATTATTATTATTTTTTACAGAAAGAATTTTACCCACAAAACCTTCAAGCTGGTTCAAAAAGAATTAATTGCATAAAGGCAATTATGTTTAGAGCTTAGAAACTCTAGGAACTCTTGTAAACCAGCACTAGACTCTTGACCAAAACAGCAAAAGTCTCCAAGTACCTATAAAAAACTGCAAAACTCAACAATTATGCTTCGTTCTACATTTGGGGAGTTGGGGGTTTCAGTATCCAAAAACCATATTTTGTTTTCACTCCACGAAAGCTTATTTACATGGTATATGAACCCACATAATTATCATTTTTATTATGTCATTTTTGCTTATGACGACATTTTGATGGATAATCTCATACATGTTTTGATGTTATTGGAAATATTTTTGTCTATGACATATCTTTTGATTTCTTTTTAGGATGGGATTTGAGTCTTTCCCGGATTCGGTGCTTGCAACTTGCTTTGGATTACCTCAAATTTGAGGAGATTGAGAAGTAAGATTCAATATTTTTTTAAAAAAATTTCTTTTATTTATTGGAAGAACTTGACAAATAAGAGCTTTGAATGTTCTTTTCAGTTTTAAATCTCATTTCTTCAGAAAACAAGACGAGGACTAATACTTGGATGCTTTTTTTCTCTTACGCATTTAAGAATTTTCAGAACAGTTGTGTAGTTTGAGAAATGATTCTGTCTCCACAGATTTTGAGAGAAGAATAAGGGACAATAGTTGGAGTGCTGATAAAAATATAAAATAGTATGTCACCACCAGCCCACCACATGTACATGTCAAAAAAAGGAACCTTTACAATGGCAGAACAGATGTTCCCAAGACTTGAAATGTGAAAATAACTCATTGAAAACTTGCTTGTTTTTAGAGTGTTGTTGTACATTTTTAGTTGATTCTTAAGTAAATGTGGTTACTTTTGAGAATATTTCCAATCGAAATATTGTCTCTCCTAAGAGATCCAGGTTTTCATGTAGTCTGCTACCATATTATTACTGTCAAGCTGAAGATCTATATAATTTCATTTGTGTTCCAATTGTATATGCTTGTCATTAGTTTAATTAATTTCCTACTTCTTGGTTATCATATGGTGTGATATATGCCTAAGTACTGCCATTTGTTACCATTCAAGAGGAGGTAGATAGAGTTGGACTTTGTAGTGTTTCTTTTTGCAGTCATGTTTTACTAGAATTTTGTGAAGTTTGCTTTATTGTTTTAACATCTAAAGAAGGTTTTAGGTGAAAGGTACTGCAAGGATATCAGTTATAGATTTGAATTCTTTAGGGCTTATGGCTATAGAAATTTAATAAATTGCTTCAGGTTGAGGTTATACATTGATAAATTTTTGCCAGAACATTCTGATATCATTATGATTCATGATTACAACAGTTCTCTGGAGATGCTTGAGGGTGCCAATTTAGCTGAAGAGGGCATCATGAGATTGCTCTTTGCTTCTGTTTATCTGATGTTCCACAAAGTTGGCAATGACAGTGAGGTTTCTGCTGCATCAAGGTACGCAGGTTTTTATTTATTAATTTATTATTATTATTATTTATGGGCTAATTAGACTCACTGTTCACCTTTCAACTGATAATTAGGTCAATAATTATTGTATGTTCTGGGTGAATAGTTTCAATTTGAATTGATTATCTATCGCACAACACATTAATTAGTCGGCATTGTGCCTGAAACTATATGAGGTATATGAGGTAGGGTCATATTGCACTAAGATCATTTGAACAAAATATATGTACACGGGTCATTACTAACTTATTTCAAAGGCTTATGTACTTTTCTACTAGCTTTCTATAGACAGACAACCAGTAGCAAACAAGACTTCGTAATATCCTAGTATAGTAGTATTTCCTTTTCATTGCAGAGTATTGTCTTTCTTATCGTTGTCATTTGTCATTTAGACTAATGTTTTGGGATCTAAACTTCTAAAGTTCTCAACATGGGTTTCTTATTGAAGCCTGTTTATTCTTTTGAGAGGTATTGATGGTTTTAATGCTACATTAAAACCATCAGGTGTTGTCCATCTTGTTAGGTCCTTCACAAAAGCCCCAGAGAGCTACCAATGCCTCAGAGATCCACAAAATTTAATAATTTGCTGCTTAAGTTGTTGTTTACTGGTCAAAATCTTTTTATGGATGTTGTATTGTAGTTAACGGATGTTATTGAGGCAAAATACAATATATTCCATGCCTTTTCAGGCAAAATACCGGTCTTCCAAATTTTATAATTTGCTGCATAAGTTGATGTTTACTTCTCGTTCATTTAGTAGTTTACTCATGATTGCCCCTTTTTCTCTTATAGTCGTGTTGGGTTGTATGCCAAATTGGGACATTGGGTAGAGTTCTCTATTTAAACTTCAGCACATTTGCTTCATTTTTTAGATAATGTTGCGTAAAATTGGATTTGTTCTGTATTAACTGTAGATGCTGTGTTCTTTTCTTTTTGGTAAAATTTACTTTTGTTATTTGCTGCTAATTTTTAGATAATTTACTGAATGATGAACTAATAACTCTAGCTTTATTAGCTGGATAGGAATTTAGCCATACCATACTGAAACGTATGTAATATGTTTGTCACTTTTAATTTCTTAAGTTTACAGTTGTGTCAGGTTGCATGCCAAATTTTGGCATGTTTGCTTTATGTTTAAACTTTGGCATGTTTACTTTGTGTTTTTAGACGATATTGGGTAAATTTTGGTTTGTCATGTATTTCCTTACAGATGCTATGCTCCTCTCTTATAGACAAAATTTAATATTGGCATTTTGTGCTAATTTTAAGTTCATGTCCTTAATGATGAACTAATTAAGTTTTATGTCTATAAGAGTATAAGTTGGATCACAGTTAAACCATGTCATACTGAAAGTTTTGGTTGTCACTTTTCATGCTTCATTGTGGATAAGCTTAGAGATCATTTATATGTAATATAGACGCAATAATAAATAAATAAATGTACAGGCTGCTTGCTTTAGCCACTGGTTTTGCAACCAAGATGATACGCACATATGGTTTATCATTGCATAAAAGAGATAATCCGAAGTCATGGAATGATCAAAATGCCCTAGCCACTCTCCACATGTTGGAGCAGATAGATATGAAGTCTGAAAAGATGGAAAATTCAAGAAAAATACAGAAGATGGCTCATTTCCTGGAAATAATTCGAAGTTTGCAGTGGCAGCTAAATTCTAAATTCAAAAGGCCAGGCCAAGGATTGGTAAGCTTTTGTGTTTGGTCCTGCAACTGCTGCTTGAAAGTAATCCTTGGCTTTGGAAAAAAAGAACCTTATAATCTTTTGTTGTAGGCGGATCGTGATGGCTTATTAAGTGATATGGAGTTTTCATTGGAAGACTCAAAGATTCTTGATCTTTCTAGAGATGTCTTACCGTTTGATTCCTCTAACCAAAGAGAATCTGCAGTGCCTGCAGTTGAATTGGAGTCAACTAATGATGAAAATCTTGCTTTGATGCCAGTGGATAGCTTGGACTCCAAAACACATTTAGCTTTAGAGAATCCAAAAGACATGATTGCTCGATGGGAATCGGACAATTTGGATTTAAAAACAATTGTAAAAGATGCTTTACTTTCTGGCCGTCTTCCTTTGGCAGTTCTTAAGTTGCATCTTCATCGTTTACAAGACTTACCAGAGCAGGAAAATCATGACACTTTTAGTGAAGTTCGTGAAGTTGGAAAAGCAATAGCTTATGATTTATTTTTGAAGGTAGGTTCTTAATAGTTGTGCATTGAACATTAATCTCTTTCTGTTTGTACTTGGAGTTTGATATTTTTTTAATGATCAGGGTGAAACTGGAATTGCCGTTGCAACACTGCAAAAGCTTGGGGAAGACATTGAAACCAGTCTTAAACAGTTGGCTTTTGGCACTGTTAGGAGATCTCTTCGGCTACAAATTGTTGACCTTATGAAAAGATATGGATATCTTGGACCACATGAGTGGAAGACTTTAGAGATGATTGCACTTATTGAGGTGCACTATTTTATTTTTATATGTCCAAACTCTTTAATAAGCCAGTAATATATTCCTATTGAGCTGACTATTGACTTTTTTGCTACAAGAGGGTGTATCCTTGCAGGAGTTTCTTAGGTACGTTTTGTAGCCGACAGCAAAAGATAAATGGGGAATTCAATGGAGATGTGCCAAAAGAAATTAACTTGCAAATATTGCATCCGCTGGCTAGAGATCTTGTCATTGTATGTGGTGAGCTTGATGGAGTTGTGTTGGGTCCATGGACAAATATCGCTAAATACACAAGTCATTCTGAAACTGATGATGATAGTACTCACACAAGTTATTGGACAGCTGCTGCAGTATGGTCTGGTGCCTGGGATCAGAGAATTGTTGATTGTGTAAGTCATTCTCTGGAAGTCCATGAACCCTAGCTTCATGGAAGATAGATTATTGTGCTTTTCTGCTATTTGAAGAATGCAATGTGTTCATGTAGCAAATGTTGCCAGTGTTGTTTTTCCTTATTTTCTACATATTACTTGCACCCCTTCTGCTTCTCTTCATTTTTTTTTTCTCAATTTTTTTTAACATATGTTTCTCATCCCATGTGGGTGGTGGTTTCTGAAATTGGAAAAATTCTATGGGGTTAAATTTTGAGGTATAAAGATTTACATTTGATAATTTCACTAATTATTTTTTCAAGTTTCTTTTTGGTTCTTACTGGCAAAACTTTCTCGTCTCTTGTACATTTCAATTAAAATCTATTAGTAGTATGTTTTCCTTCATTTTGGTTGCCCTGAGTAATATTTTCAGTGGAACCTTAAGCAGTTTTTTAAACCAAAAGAGGTTGAAATGACTTTGTGCATTGGTCCTTCTTGGCATGGAGTACACTTGCCTCTTGGGAAAATTTTTACTTCTAATATAAATTACCATTTTATGCTCTTCCTGGCTCTTCTTAAAAACCTGCATTTCTGATCAACAAATTTCAAATTATGTTGCTGCACAGATAGTACTTGATCAACAATTCCTTCTGGGGGTTAATGTATTGTGGGAATCCCAACTCGAGTACCACATACGCCACAATGACTGGTTGCAAGTTTCAGGAGTTCTGGAGGTTATTCCATCTTATGCATTGTCCCATGGAAACCTGGCCGTCAATTTAGAGAGTTCACGTTCTGCACCAGTTGTTGAATATCCTCATGAGCCAGAGGCCCCAGATTCTGGCAATTATGCATATTTCCTTGAAGAACTGGATTCTGTGTGTCTGAATGTACCAGATGTCCAAATTGTAAGGTTTCCTGCACACATCATTTGCTCTATGTGGTTGCGAGTGCTTATGGAACAGCAACTTGCTAAGGAATATATTTTTCTTAAGGATTATTGGGGTTCTCTGGAAGAGATGGTAAATTTACTAGCTCGCTCAGGTTTCATTATTGACACACATGATTCTACAGTGCTAGAGGAGGGATCCTTTGAGAAGTTTCCAGATTCATTGCTGTCTATAAATGATTCAAGAAGCCAGTCAAATACCACCCAAGCCTTACACAAACTCATCGTTTACTACTGTGCTCAACATAACTTGCCGAACTTCTTGGATCTTTACCTTGACCACCACAAGTTGGGTTTGGATGATGAAGCACTTTCCTTGTTAGAAAATGCAGCAGTAAGCCAACTTTTACCTATTATAAATCCCCATCTAACCTATATTTATTTTTATTCTAGTATACCAAATTACCAATTTTTTGATACTTAAATCACACTGTTGTCTGAATCACATTTGTTCATGAATTGTGAAGCTTCACTTCTTTGGATTTCTCTGCAGTTCTACACTTGACTCGTATCACAATCTAAAAATCCCAGTGGACAATTCCCTTTATCCTAAAGTGTCTGATATTGTCCATTGCATTGTCAGTTGACCAGTTTCAGTTCATATTATTCCTTATAAAATTACACTAGATGTGCTAATGGAAGTTTTTCAAATTTTAAATATTGAATAGACATTAGACTATAATTTGCTCCAAGAATTGTTTGTTTCACATGGTAAGAAACTAAATGGAATTGATGGAAAATGTTTGTTTTGGTGCTTCACCTATGAATCAGATGATAACTATGTGAAATATACTTTTTGCATGAATAGGAAACACTTCAAAGTCTAAATATCTGTTAAACCCTTGTTTCATATACATATGTTTGTATTATCTTACTTTATATTTTTATGATATTCTTGAGGGCATTTAATAAACAACTAATAATGTTTACCAAATGCATTTTTTCCCTATGTTTTCTAATATTATGTGGATTAGATTTCTGCAATTTGAATCTTTCATGTGGCAATGTGTGATTGAACAGAGGAAAAAAAAAACTTTAAAAAGAAAAAAAGATGGAACAATTGAAGAAACAAAAGTATTTCAACTTGATGGCTTAATAGAAAACAGGATCTTTTCTGCTTTGGATAAATAATACTGAATCCAAATCTCTTTACAAACCTTTGCCTGGTCATTGGCAAATTAAGCTTCTGCTTCTTTTTAATAAGTCCATGTGCCTTAGGCTGTCTACACTGCCAAGTGCTAACTACTATTAGTGTGCTGTTTATAATAGAATGTCTTTTGGAGCTTGATTTTCCTGTACTTATGATTCGACAAGGGCATGAATAATTAAACATACTAGGTTTCCCTATCTTATTTGAACTACAGGAAGAAACAGAGATATATACTAGTTGGATGTAAATTGAAAATGGCTTTTGGTTTGTTGTTTGAAAGTAAAGATGGTAGGCATCTCTATGGATACAGCAGCCTTTGGCAATACCTGTACTGAATATATCCAGTAAGGCTACTCCAGTTTTAAATTAGAAAGGACAATCAATTTTGTCGTTTATTTCATTGGTTTCTTGGTGGAGGAAGTCTTCATGTGAAATCAGCAGCACAATTTTTTTATATGGAATATTTCTTGCATAAGTTCTACCTTCTTCCCTCAATCCCTCCCCATGGAAATTTCTACCTCCATCTCCTGTTAAGCCTTGAGATGGCATTCACGGATATGCTAGACTTTTGACTATTCTGTTTAGATGTTTTGTTCTTACTACATTTTATTTAACTTTGCTGTTATACTTGCTGTTTCCTTATGTGTCTCTAGGGAGATAATCAATGGGTGAGGTGGTTGTTGCTACAAAGAGTTAAAGGAAAAGAGTTTGAAGCATCATTCTCTAATGCCTGTGCAGTTGCATCACGCGGTGTAGCTCCTGGTAACAATCTAACTGTCATGGAAGTACAAGACATTATACATACTGTTGATGACATTGCAGAAGGAGGCTGGGAAATGGCAGCTTTAGCTACATTAATGTATTCTCCAATACCAATTCAAGATTGTCTGAGCAGTGGAAGTGTTAGCAGGCACCATAACTCTGCTCAGTGCACATTAGAAAATCTGAGGCCAGCCCTCCAGTGCTTCCCTACTTTGTGGCGTGCACTTATAGCAGCATGCTTTGGGCAAGACCCAACTTGCAGTGTTCAGGGCTCTAGGCTCAAATGTGAGTTCATAGCAGCTTAATATTTTCTACTATTATAGTTTCTTCAGTGTACTATTGCACTTTTACGTCATATGTGTTCCCTGATTTTTTTAAAATTTTAAATTTGGTGCAGTCTTTGCGTGTTCGGATTTATTAGACTATTTGACTTGGCGTGAGGATGTCTTCTTCTCTTCAGGACGTGATGCATCACTTCTACAGATGCTTCCATGCTGGTTCCCTAAGGCTGTTCGAAGATTAATTCAGCTTTATATCCAGGTTACTTGCTGTGTGTCAGCTAGGGCATTTGCAATGAGTGTAGCACATAAAATTTGCGGTTATATAAATTTCTGGTTAGAAGGGAAGGAAAAAGGAAGGGGTGAGGGCCATGAGGCAAATCCAACATTTGACAGTTTAGAAGAGTGAAAAATTATGACTATAAGAAATCAAGATATAGAAGCATATGATCATTCAATTTCCGACCCATGAAGATCTCTCAAGTGCATGGTTGTGAATATTGAAGTGCCATAGTTACCTATTTTTTTAAGGAATACATGGATATTGAGATTGGAGTTGGAATATCTAGATTAAACCAATTTTACTCCTCGAAAATAGTTGCTTGATATAATAGTAAAGCCTTTTATAAGCACCATACCATGTCTTTTCCTGTGAATAACATTTTACTCATAATAATAATGATAACAACAACAACAACAACAACAACAACAATAATAATAATAATAATAATAATAATAATAATAATAATAATAATATAATAATAATAATAATAATAATAATAATAATAATAATAGTAGTAGTAGTAATAATAATAATAATAATAATAATAATAATTGGAACAATAAAACAGAAGATACTTCAGGGGAATTGTAAATCATGCGCAGAGATGGACATATACTTGTTTGAGAGTTTTATTATTTTGGTTTAACCAGTTCGTGGAATTTCTAAGCTCCATGCATACAAATCTGTAAAAGTTTGTTGCTAGAGTGTGGAGCTTTTATCAATAAATATCTTTCACTGATCACTAAATGGTTCCGGCTTTAGATAGTATTACTGATTCCGATATATCATATATGGCCTTATTATTTAACCATTGAACTTTAACCTCCTTTGTTTCATGCTCTGTATGCATGCCCTTGTTTATATGGAAAAAGTTTCTACAAGTAATCAAATCATTTTTGCAATTAATGCAACTTGGTTATACACTCAACTATAATTGTGTTCCTCAGTATTGCACATCTTCTGTGATGGCAGGGCCCACTTGGTTGGCAATCATTTGCGGACTTGCCCATGTATGAAACGTTTCTGCCCAGGGATGTTGATCATGCTGCTATTAGTCCCATGTCCTGGGAAATTGCCATTCAGAAACACATTGAGGAGGAACTGTATGATTCTTCATTGAAAGTAAGCTGAGATCTATCTTTTTGCACTGGATTAATGCAAATTGGGGGATGTGCTCACCAGCTTCTAAAAGATAATAACAGATGATGACTAGAAGTTGAGTGTTTTCTGAGAATACAGTATTTACTTGATAAAGAAGTATATTTAACCTGACAGATGATTGAAAGGGGACTTCAAGCTCTTGCACAATTAGAATGAAAATTTTCAGATATTGTATCTCTTGCCCTTAACAAAATTGTGTTTGTAATTAAATGCTGGGTATTATTTATTACACCATCTGTCCCATTTTACCTGTCATTCATTGGTCAAACCAATTCTTTCTTCTTTACTTATTTTCTTTAATATTTTAAAATTATTTTTAAATTTGATTTTTTGTGTTTAATAGTACTTTTAATGTAGTTTCTAAATATATAGATTTTATACACTAATAATAAACTTAATATTATGAAAAATTAAATTAAAAATAACTTTAGTCAAGCCTCATTAACCAAACCAGATACATAAAATGGTTTAAGAGTGTGGAGAGTGTTCATTTTGTAAATCCTGATGATTGTACATAGAGTGATACCACTTATAGATTCTACTCTCTGCAATTAGCTCTATCTCTATTCTATATTCTTTATTTTATTTTCATTCCAAATTACAGCCTAGTTAACAAAGTATCTTCATCCTATTATAACAAAAATTTTATCACCCATGTATGGTCATGTCTTTATTCTGTTATAATTCGTGCAGTTACTGAAATTGGATAAAATAAGGCTGTTTTGCTATTATGTGTAGCATTTTCTTTTAGCTTCAATCTGCTTTTCCTTTATATTGTCCTTCCTCATGCAAACTAGCAACATTCTGGATTCAGGAATCTGAACTTGGATTTAATCTTTGTTTTACTTACACATTGATTTGTGTGTGTGTGGTTTCATATGGTGTCTTTCCATGAGTGTTATTTTTCTCTCATCAGCATAAATTTTCTTTTTTTGTATAACAAAAAAAACGAAGGAATCTGGACATGGGATTGAACACCATTTGCATCGTGGACGGGCGTTGGCTGCTCTTAATAATCTGCTTGCTGTGAGAGCTCAGAAGTTGAAATCTGAAAGTCCACAGAGAGGGCGGCCTGGATCATCGCATGCCCACAGTCAAACCATCATCCAGTCAGATATGCAGACACTTCTTGGACCCATAACTGAGACAGAACAGCTTCTTCTCTCATCTGTATGAATCATTCTTTTATATTCTTTACCTGAACAAATTGATGCTTTCTATGCCATGTCATATAGGCCACTCTATTATGCGTTTGTTATTGAGAGACATCATAAGATTGAAATGAAAGTTGAGGACTTTATTGGGTAAAAAAAATAGTCGAGGACTAAATTGGTAATTTCACCTTTTTCATTTCAATCTTATGATGTCTCTCATCCTGTAAATCTCCTTTCCTGCATTCAAGTATTTTATCTGCAGAAAGTTTGAAAGGTTGAGGGAAATGACTTTAACTTAAAGCATTTGTTTCCTGACCTTCATGATGGAATGAGATATAATTGACTTCAGATATATTTGAGTAGTTGGGTAGATTTTGAATCAGATTTTCAGTGAGGATCAGCCAAGTTAAGTGCTTCACTATCTTGCGAGTCAAATAAGCTATGTTCTCACAAAGTGAATAAATGTATGCTGAATTTCAGAATATGTTTTTTATTCTTGACTACAATGTTCCCCTTTGTTTTCTGTTTTGGGTTTGAAAGGTCCTTGGCATTGTAGAAAGTTTGTTAAAAAGGCAATAAAATGATTAAATGCCATTAGTTGGGAACATTCACATTAGTTATTCTTCTCTATGAAGCCAGAGTCTCACAATGTTTACAAGTCTTTCATAATTATTGATGTAATCAATCTTGTGAATACATTTGAAGCTATCCTTTGTGTATATTGCTTCCATTGAGGAGTATCTAAGTACTCTTTCAACCACAAAATCCTGCAGAGAAAGGAAGGCTGCATTTTGAGGATTCTGTTTTGGTTTCCTATTTTGACCAATTTGCATCTTATTTGGCTTTCAGGTCATTCCCCTTGCTATTCTGCATTTTAAGGATTCTGTGTTGGTGGCTTCTTGTGCATTTCTATTAGAGTTATGTGGTCTCCCTGCTGCTACCATCCAAATTGATGTTGCAGCTTTGAGAAGGATATCTTCCTTTCACAAATCTGGAGATTATGCCGATCACTACAGACAACTTAATACTCGGAGTTCTTCATTTCATTCTACTATTGATGGTGACATAAGTGAATCTCTTGCCCGGGCTCTGGCGGATTATTATCGTCACCATGATTGTCTTGGATGTGGTAGTCAAAAAGACAACCAGAGTAGCATCACTAGCAGACACCAATCTCAAGCTCTCATGCTTGTTCTGCAACACTTGGAAAAAGCTAGTCTTCCTTTAGTTACAGAAGGAGTGACCTGTGGATCCTGGTTAATGACTGGTAATGGTGATGGGGTCGAATTGAGGTCCCAGCAAAAAGCTGTAAGCCAGCGTTGGAATTTAGTAATAGCTTTTTGTCATGCGCATCACATCCCTCTGAGCACTAAATACCTTGCAGTATTAGCAAAGGACAATGATTGGGTAAATCCTTCATATTGGCCCTTATTTCAAGCATAAATATTACCGAGTAGTTTTTTTTTTTTTTTTTTCCTTCCAGAAATAAAGATCTAAGTAGCATTTTTTTTTTCTGCTAGGTTGGATTTCTATCAGAAGCTCAGATTGGGGGTTATCCTTCCGAGACTGTAATCCATGTTGTAAGCTCCTTGAGCCTTTTGACAAATTGCTTCTCCTTGGTGAAGCTTCACCACTTGATGCATTTTTATTTTCATCTAACAGGACTACAGGAATGAAAGAAACCTGATATTTCATCTTTACACTCTTCTCAAATATTATTTGCTATGTTTCAGGCATCTGAAGAGTTCAGTAATCCACGTCTTAAAACACATATATTGACAGTTCTAAGAAGTATGCAGGCAAGAAAAAAAGTTAGCTCCACGTCAAGCTTAGATACAGCCGAAAAAGAGGGCAAAACTTCTTTCTCAAAAGAAAACGTATATGCACCAACTGAACTATTTGGAATTATAGCAGATTGTGAGAATCAGAAAAGTCCAGGACAGGTTCTTCTCCAAAAAGCAAAGAATTTGTGTTGGTCACTGTTGGCCATAATTGCATCTTGTTTTCCTGATGTTTCTCCTTTGTCTTGTCTTACGGTTTGGCTGGAAATTACTGCAGCAAGGTCACCCATGATCACATTTTTTTTTTTTTTTAATGGATAATCATATTTATACACCATGGTTTCATTATGCTTTCTTTTTTATAAATACTTTTCATATATTTATTATTCTGATCGTATTTTTTATTTTCTTTCCAGGGAAACTTCAGCCATCAAGGTTAATAACATTGCTTCCCAGATTGCAAATAATGTTGGTGCAGCAGTGGAAGCAACTAATTCCCTTCCAGCAAGTGCTAGAGCCCCTACAGTTCATTATAACCGAAGAAATTCAAAACGTAGGCGGCTCATGGATCCCATGTCTATAGATTCTTTGACTTTTAGAGCACCTGAAGTATCTTCACCCTCTAGCAGTGTGAGTGTTAGAGGTATTATAACTGAAGATGCAATGGACAAACAAGTAGCTCAAGATGAGAAAGTTTCAATTGATTCTACTGAAGTATTTGCTTCTTTATCAAGAATGGTAGCAGTTCTTTGTGAAAAAAATTTGTTCCTCCCTCTCCTAAGGGCTTTTGAAATGTTTCTTCCTTCATGTTCTCTCTTACCCTTTATCCGTGCTCTTCAGGTTTGTTCTCTAACCTTTTGTTCTTAAGCATATGCTACTCCTGTGAATTATCTGTAGTTCCTTGGTACCAAAAGAATGCTACCATGTAATCCATTTCATAATGCTGAACTGAATTATGCATGTTGATTGAAACTTTTGGAAGAATGCTCATATTTATCCATATATTCTTCCCATTATATTCACCTTCAAGCTGAAAATTTTGGCTGTCATTATATCGCATTATCCTCTTGAGAACATATTGCGTTTATATAAGAGTTGCGGCATCAATATTTCTAGATTTAATTAGGATTCTTGTGTTATTTTCAGGCCTTCTCGCAAATGCGCCTGTCTGAAGCTTCAGCGCACCTGGGGTCCTTTTCTGCCAGAATTAAGGAAGAACCTCATGCACAAGCAAATATGTGGAAAGAAGGGCAAGCTGGGAGGTCTTGGATATGCTCTACAGCTGTCAAAGCTGCTGATGCAATGCTCTTAAAATGTGCTTCACCTTATGAAAAAAGATGTTTACTGCAGCTCCTTGCTGCAACTGAATTTGGTGATGGGGGGTCTGCTGCAGCTTCATATCGGCGGCTTTTTTGGAAAATAAATTTGGCAGAACCTTCATTACAAAAGGATGACAGCCTACACCTAGCAAACGAGTCTTTGGATGATGCTTCACTATTAGTTGCATTGGAAAAGCATGGTTATTGGGAACATGCACGGAATTGGGCAAGACAGTTAGAGACCAGTGTTGGATCTTGGAAATCTGCGGTGCATCATGTGACTGAAATGCAGGTAGCACATCTCATGCACTACCTTATACAAATAATTAAATGCTGCATGATTAAATAATGACTGCCTAGTCAACTCTCTAACTATATTGCCAAGACTCTTGCTAGTTTAAGCCTATATAAATTTCTTAAAAAGCTATGGGACGGTATTATCTGGTAAATGTTATTTAATTTTTTGTTTGTTCTGCTGTATGGCCAAGGAGTTCATTTCCTGTTCCAAAGAAATTCCTATACGTTGTACAGAAGAAACACTAGATAACTGTCCATTTAACCTTTTTAACAATTATGCTCTTAACCACCTCTATTCCAATTTTTGTGATACTTTCCTTTTCTGGGTCAGTCTAAAATGTTAGCATGCTATGAGGTAAATACCAATATACTTCTCACAGCATTCATGAATTCTTCAAAATTTTGAATTTAGACAATGATGTGATTCTTTTACATGCAAATTCACATTATTACTTCATTACTTATTTGTGTAATGTGTTGGAGTTCTTGAATAATCTTGTCATATTAAACTGCACAACATAAAATATAGGAGATATGTTTGAGTTTTTAACAATGTCCTTCAGTTTTAGTAAATTTTGTATCTGTGATTGTCTTAATTTATCTGTTCTACATTGCTTTGATCTCTCTCTCTCTCTCTCTCTCTCTGTGTGTGTACGTGTCTAGGCTGAGTCCATGGTTGCAGAGTGGAAAGAGTTTCTTTGGGACGTCCAAGAAGAAAGAGTTGCTTTGTGGGGCCACTGCCAGACACTATTTATTAGAAATTCTTTTCCACCTTTACAGGTTATTCAGTTACTTGTGCTTTCTTTTATGGTTTTGCAGCACAGGGTGGGGTTGAATGATATGATTTTGGGCTAACTGAGTTCTTTGCTTGATGGTGCTAACTATTAGTTAATTTCTTATTATCTTTTGCTGGTTTGCTTTATAGGCAGGACTATTCTTTCTTAAGCATGCTGAGGAAGCAGAGAAAGATCTCCCAACCAGAGAGCTTCATGAACTGTTATTGCTTTCTTTGCAATGGCTGAGTGGAATGATAACTCAATCTAACCCGTAACTGTCCAATAAAACCCTCTTGCTTAAAAGTTCTACTTGTAATTTCAGAGTTTTAACTTTAACAATTTTTTCAGAGTTTATCCATTGAACCTCCTAAGAGAGATTGAAACAAGAGCATGGCTTCTGGCTGTTGAATCAGAAAGTCAAGTGAAAAGTGAAGGAGAGATCACCTCAAAAAGTTGCAACCGGGAAATTACAACTAGCAAGAGCTCTAATATTGTTGAGCACACTGCAAATATTATAACAAAAATGGATAATCACATAAACCATTTGAGGAGCAAAATTGTGGAGAGGACTGATGCAAGAGAAATTAACCTCACACAACTGCGGACTCCTCAAGTTCTGGATTCTACTTCTTCAGGTGCTAAAGCTAAACGCAGAACCAAAAGCTTTGTTCCATCAAGGAAGCCTTCTGTTGATGCATTGGAGAAAGGCAGTGAATCTGAAGGCTTATTTCAATTCAACAATCTGAAAGATGATACACAGCTAGTAGATGAGAACTTTAAAGTAGAATCTTTCTCCAGATGGCAGGAAAGAGTGGAACCTCTTGAGCTAGAAAGGGCCATACTTTCACTACTGGAATTTGGACAAATAACAGCTGCTAGACAGCTCCAACAGAAATTGTCTCCAGACAACATGCCATCTGAATTCACAATTGTGGATACTGCTCTTAAGCTTGCTGCTTTCTCTACTCCAAACCAAAATGTGTTAACATCAGTGTTAGATGATGGAGTGCGATTCATTATGCATTCATACAATCTTCTTCATGATCAGCACATTATTGACCCCCTGCAGGTAGTGATGATTTGTGTTTTTCCACCTATTTTTTCCCTGAAAGCTGAACCAGGCTACATGAAGAGTCAACTTGATAGATGCATCCCATTTTCTCTATGATTGTATCCTTATTCTGGTGGCATTAGTGAGCACCTAGCAGTGCCATTTTGCATGTGCCTTCAGAATTTTGATTTCTTTTATCAGCACTGTCTTTCAAATTGCTTATGGGCTCTTGTCATGAAGACTTGAATTGTTTTGTGGTGAAAACCAATACTGTATGATGGAAGAATAGTGTAATTGGAGTGTTAGTCATACCATGTTTTAGCTTTTGTTTATAATGAATAATATCACTGTCTTGAATGCAGCTGGAGCCAAATACTTGTCTGCCTGTTCTACTTTTTCTTCAGATGTCTAGTCCTATTAACTTTGCTATGCATATTCATGATTCTATTTTAATTATAGTAATTTCTTGCTTGCTTCCAGGTATTGGAGAGTTTAGCAGTTGTCCCTGCAGAAGGCAGGGGACGAGGACTCTGCAGGAGAGTGATAGCAGTCGTGAAGTCGGCAAATGTGTTGGGCCTTTCGTTTTCAGAGGCATTTGATAAGCAACCAATTGAAATTTTACAATTGCTTGCTCTCAAAGCACAAGATTCATTTGAAGAAGCAGATCTCTTGGTGCAAACTCATCCTATGCCAGCAGCTAGCATTGCTCAAATTCTTGCTGAATCTTTTCTGAAGGTACATTTTTCTTTCTCCTTTTTGAAGCATTGAAAAAAGAAACCATGTGTTAATAATGTAGAAGACTCCTTGGGTATCTCATAGCCTATATATACTAGGCTCTGCCTGCCTTGCCTTTCAACTTAGTATTTCTTAAGATTTAGCATATTTTAGTTCAAGGGACATGCAATTCTAGATACATGCATGATGCATGATGCAAACAAAACTTTTTGGAGTATAAAATTAGCTTGTGCCATAACATCCAGATAAGTTGTGCAGAAGCAGTAATGATTATCTGTTTAGTTGTATCCAGACTGGATTTATATCAGTTTTATTACACATAATTGGGACTGCAGTCTTTATGATTTCTGTTGAAATTGAGGATTGACAGGCGTGGCGGGTGGAGAATAACCACCACCCGCCAGTTAGGCGGATGCAAAATATGTGAGATCCAAAGACAAAGATAATAGAAAGAATATATTATAATGAAAGATTACAATAGATTAATCTCTGTGTGTATCCTCTATACCTCTATAGACCTCTATATATACTAAATTAACCCTAATAGGAATAGGAAACTAAGTCCACCCTACTAGGAGTTTCCTAATATTCAACACTCCCCCGCAAGCTGGAATATCTGGAAGTTCCAAGCTTGGATTAACATTACCACTGAAGATTAAAAGCAGCTATGGATGGCTTCAAAAGAGATGGCGCTATGTGTGACCCTTCCTTGGGAATGAAGACAAATGCACCAAGAACGGAGCTGAACACAATCCTTGGGAATAAAGATGAACACACCAAGGACAAAGCTGAACACGATCTTGGGAATGAACACACCAAGTACGAAGTTGAACACGATCCTCGGGAATGAAGATGAACGCACCAAGGATAGGGAATAACAGTGCCGGATGGCTTCAGAGGGACAACGCTATGCACAACCCATGGGAATGAAGGGACCAGGGGCGAAGCTTGTCACGAACAACCTTGGGAATGAAGGCACCAAGGGTGAAGATTAACACGAACACCACCACAACAACATAAGCACTCTAGGATTTGCAAACAAAGCCTTCATTGAGAGCAGTAGAGGCGAAAGGGAGCAAAGAATAGCAAAGGATGCAGTAGAGCCCATAGTTATGAAGATAAACCCAAAGCAATGAGATAAAGATAAACAGGAAAACAAAGTAAAATAAGAACCCTGAATGATTGTAGATAGTCAAACTCCCCCTTACTTGAAACATGCGAAATAATCAAAGGCCTTTAATGTAGTACTGAAACTGAACACCCTTGGGATAAGGCATACCGGAGATAAAGAAACACCGCGGTTATACCAAAACACCACGGGAAGAAGTTTGGCAATAAACACAACAGAGAGGAGGTACCAATGGTGAAAGGTGAAGCCATAATATTATTCAAAATGGCAAGAGAATCTGCCTCAAGGGATGTTTGACCGACGTTGACCGGCGAAGTTTACCGGCATTGACCGTTGACCGACGACGTTGACCGGGCAGAGATGATGGAACTGAAAACACTACCAGATGCGTCTCTTCAAGACGAAACCAATGGTGGCAACGGCGTCTTGATCGGAGCTCTGATGAGGGAGATCTGGCCGGAAAACAGTGGAGGATTCTCGGCGGTGGCGCGTGAGGCGGCGGATGGCGACCGGATTTCAGGCAAAAGCTCGCGACGAGGTTCCGAGTGAGGCTGTGGTGTTAGTTTCGGAGAACAAGAACAACCACCAGACACGTCGGAACAAGAGAAAACAGTCACGGGTTCCTGTTTACGCCGAAAAATAGATGCTGCCGGAAATATTGGAAGAAAAATAGCCTAGGAAAGTAGGCTCTGATACCATGTTGAAATTGAGGATTGACAGGTGTGGCGGGTGGAGAATAACCATCACCAGCCAGTTAGGCGGATGCAAAATATGTGAGAACCAAAGACAAAGATAATAGAAAGAATATATTATAATGAAAGATTACAATAAATTAATCTCTGTGTGTATGCTCTATACCTCTATAGACTTCTATATATACTAAACTATATACTAAATTAACCTTAATAGGAATAGGAAACTAAGTCCACCCTACTAGGAGTTTCCTAATATTCAATAAAGGTTTTGTAATATTCAACAATTTCAATGCTGATCTCTTGCATTTTTTCTATGTGTTTATTGGTCTTTTTGTTAATAGGGATTGCTAGCAGCACATCGTGGGGGATATATGGATTCTCAAAAGGAGGAAGGACCTGCCCCTTTGTTGTGGAGATTTTCAGATTTCTTGAAGTGGGCTGAGCTTTGCCCTTCCGAACCAGAAGTAGGCCATGCTTTAATGCGCTTAGTGATCACTGGGCAAGAAATACCGCATGCCTGTGAGGTAATAGGTTAAACCAGTACCTTTTCATTTATTCATTTCATCACTCAAACACATCATTCCACTTAATGTTGGCCAGACCCAATGTGCAAGGCTCCACATCTTGCAGGATTTGAGGAAAACGAAAAGAAAAGCACTGTGACTTCACATTGATTGTTGATAGCCTTACTGTGGAAATTAATGTTTCAGGTGGAGCTTCTTATTCTGTCCCACCATTTCTACAAGTCATCTGCATGCCTTGATGGAGTCGATGTTCTTGTAGCTCTTGCAGCAACCAGGGTGGAAGCTTATGTTTCTGAAGGCGATTTTCCGTGTTTGGCTCGATTGATAACTGGAGTGGGGAATTTTTATTCACTTAATTTTATTCTCGGAATTCTTATTGAAAATGGGCAGCTGGATCTTCTTCTCCAAAAGTTTTCAGCTGCTGTGGATGCAAATGCTGGTTTTGCAGAGGCTGTTAGAGGATTTAGAATGGCAGTTCTGACGTCACTCAAGCAATTTAATCCTGATGATCTTGATGCATTTGCCATGGTGTGACTCTTGCTATTCAATTATTTCCTATCTCTTCATTTCTGTTGATGCATGCCTCAAGGTCGACTTGCATGTCATATATAGTTAAAAATGAGCTTTTTTCTTGATTTCCATCCAGGTTTATAATCACTTTGATATGAAGCATGAAACTGCATCTCTTTTGATGTCTCGGGCAGAACATTCATCTCAGCAATGGTTTTTCCGTTATGACAAGGATCAGACTGATGATCTCCTAGCATCCATGCGATATTACATTGAAGCTGCTGAAGTTTACTCTTCCATTGATGCTGGCAATAAAACATGTGGAGCCTGTGCTCAGGCATCACTATTGTCCCTTCAAATTCGAATGCCAGATTTGCATTGGCTTAGTCTATCTGAAACTAATGCACGGCGAGTTCTGGTTGAGCAATCCCGTTTCCTGGAGGCTCTAATTGTTGCTGAAGCTTATAATCTTAACCAGCCAGGCGAATGGGCCCTGGTACTTTGGAATCAAATGCTTAGACCAGAGCTTGTTGAACAGTTTATTGCTGAATTTGTGGCTGTACTCCCTCTCCAACCCTCAATGCTCCTTGAACTTGCAAGATTTTATAGAGCTGAGGTGGCTGCCAGAGGGGATCAGTCCCAGTTCTCCGTATGGTTGATGACCGGGGGAGGACTTCCAGCCGAATGGGCAAAATACCTAGGGAGATCATTTAGATGTTTGTTGAAAAGAACGAGGGATCTAAGATTGCAGCTACAGCTGGCCAGCATTGCTACTGGGTTTGTTGATGTGATTGATGGGTGCAATAGAGCATTGGATAAGGTCCCTGAAAATGCTGGGCCTCTTGTCCTGAGGAAAGGGCATGGAGGGGGATACCTCCCTCTCATGTGAAAATCGGACACAACACTACTTCTATTATATATATATATATATATATATATATATATATATATATATATATATATATATATATATATATACTTTTGAGTTTTGACTGTTGCTCAAAAACCACCTCGCTGCCGCTGCTACCATACTGACAAGTCCCAGTCTGCTATTAGCGGCACAGAGTACAGCTGTAAATTATTTTGGTTTTGAACTTTTGCCTCTAAATATATAAGCAAGCTTAGTGGAAGGAAGCAGTATGAATCTTGAAGAATATACCTATATATATAGTTAGGTCTGGCGAGTGGGAGCTCTGTGAAAATTGATGATTTTGGCATATCATTTTTCATTTTTGTTTTCCCAAAATTCATTCAAATTGAGGCCAACAGGACTTTTGTAAGGAAATGTTTTATAGATTAGTGAGAGATGTACAATACATAATTCTTTTCTCAACGATCCCTTTTGGTTTTCTCATTCTGGATCATTTATCATTAGTGAGTGGATTAACAGTTTCTGCTCTTTTTTTTTTTTTTAATCTAACAGAAGGGCAGAGATAATGGTTCAGTGGATCTTTTTGTATGATCAAAATTTGGGTAGCATTTACTATTTATACACACCTAACCTGTTAGCTGCTTATGCATGCATCTTGTGAATATTAAGTTGAAGTTAGGTGAACATTGGGTTCATTATATTACGTGTGATGTGTGATTTGTGTACATACAGTCTGCAGTTTTAATTTAGGGGGCTATGCTTATGTAGAATACTGCCAGGCAAACTTGGTCCATTTTGCATATATTGCCGACTGTATGCTGCATGCTTATTGCATTTTATCCTGTTATTTTAAAAAATATATTTGATTCTAGTTTTCACTCAAATTTATATTTAAACTTGTAAAAAATATAAATTAATAGTCCCTTAAAATTTACATGAGGGAACAATTAGGCCTATGAACTTTTAAAATTTTCAATTAAACACTCAAACTTATAAAAATCATCCTGTAACCAACAAGTTATTGGTAAAATATGATGTTAGATTACCAAGGCTGGTCATCTTCTCATCGAAGAACACGATCAAAAGTGTACTGGGAAGGGCGGTCGTCTTCTCACCGAAGAACACGATCAAAAGTGTACTAGGAAGCTCATGTCTGACGGCACAAAGCTCCACCGAGAATACAAAGCCAAAAGCAGATGGTCGACGTAACGAGTTGGTGATGAAACCACCATGGACCGAGCCGGGGTGCCACCGGAGACTACCAATCTAGCAACAATCTTCGTGAACCAAAACCCAAACATTCTTCCGGGAAGAGTCGCCAGAAAATAAAACACCCAAAAATAACTATCGGCAGCGAAGGCCTCGTCGGAGAGCTTGATTAAACACGTACCTGGGGAGCAAGCCTCATGACCGTCGACACAACCAAAAATCTCCTCACCAAATGCAAATGGTCGGCGAGAAACACTGAGATTAATCGCATGTAGAAAATTCAAATGGATCATTGGAGATTCCCGAAACCAACACCAGATGTCATCATAGACAGATTAAAACGCGCCGGAAAGATTTGTGGTGCCATACTGCCAAATCCAAAAATCAATGCTTTGCATGAAGCAAATCCAAAAATCCATTTCTAATCAAATAACAGTGACAAAGTCACGTTTAGAAGGAACAAAAATCAGAAGAAAATTAAACCAGCTTTTGAGGTAGAAGGTGGCCCCGTGTAGCCTTCTTACTGTAAGAAGAGTAGGTCGCCTCCTTCGTGACCGCGGGTAAGGCGACCGGCAATCGCCGGAACATTACCTAAACACTAATGACCTTTTATTATAGGTCAAGTTATTAACTAGGTCATTAACTGGTTGTAGGGCTTTGATGCACTAAAATGTTATTTTAATTGTAACTTTTAAAAGTTTGAGGTTCTAATTAACTTTTTGTATAAACTTCAAGGGTGTATTTAACCCCTTTCCCTAATAATGATCACACTGATGATATAGGAAAATGTTTTGTTCCACTGCAAAAATTTTCCTTCCTAATTCCTCGTGACATGGTTTGTAATAATTAGGTGTCATGAATTGGTTGACTCTACTAACTATTCAATAAAATTAAAAAAAAAAAAAAACAAAAACAAAAAAAGTGTCATATTAAGGAGAGATTAGAAGGAAATTTTTTTAGAGGTGGGTAGTATTGTAGATGATATATTGGTGTTACATTGAAGCAATAACTTTTACCACTTTTTTTTTTTCCTTTTTGTACACAATTAAACTATTGTATGCACTAACATAAGTCATAGTCTCACCTAAAAGAGGCGCCTACAATTCAACAAGGGGATTAGTCACTATGTCCAACGGTGGAAATCGTGAGTATAACAAAATAATAATACTAATAATAATAATAATAATAATAATAGTGCAGATTCTATACTTGTAAAAGTCTATACAATGTTTACTACGGAGTAATAATTCGACATAGTGTAAACATGTAAATATTTCAGTGATTCATTCTTCAATAACTTTTATCATTTTAAATATTCAATGCAAGTAGGTCACCTGGCGCCAAATAAGTTGATGAGAAATTACAAAGAATTTTTTTTTATTAATCAATCGTATTTACAAGGTATAGGAATGGATATATTTATAGAGATACAAGAAGTAGTCCTAACTAGGGCATGACTAGTAAAGGTAGAGTTATAATAATACATAGAAAAGAAGGAATTCTGAAACTGAACAAATCCAGGAGGTTGCTCCATATATACTTCCTCAGATCTCCACGCAAAAAAAGCATTCTTGATGTCAAGTTGATTCGGGTCAATTATAGATAGCTGCTATAGAAATAAGTAGTCAGATGTTAACTTAGCAATAGGGGAAAAGGTATCAGAATAATCTACCCCATTAAGTCTGAGCATATCCCTTTGCAACAAGGCGAGCCTTCAACCAACCAATAGATCCATAATAGTTCACTTTGACGGCAAACGCCTATTTGCAACCAATTGATTTCTTCCCCGCATGTAAGTCTACCAAATTCCAAGTACCATTTTGGTCTAAAGCATTCATTTCTTCTATCATAGCATTGGACTATCCAAGATGGGACATGACTTCTTTAACAGTTTTAGGGAGAGAGATAGAATCAATAGACGCAATAAAAGAACAGGAGGATGGTGACAGATTATCATAAGAGACAAAGGAGGAAACAGGATAGGCACACTTGCGTTTACCTTTGCGAAGAGCAATTGGAAGTTCATCATCGGAAAGTTGATCTAACGACAAAGAAATTGGTTTCGGACATGCAGCAGGCCAGGTGGGGTACGCTCAGGTAGGGTGGAACCTGTAGGTATAATGGGGGCCGACTCAGGAAGTCTTAGTCGTCGAGAATAAACCTGAAGAATCTGAGGTGTTGGAACATAAGAAGTAACGGTATAGATCAAGATACCATTTTCCTCCCTTGAATGATCATGATGTGAAGATGGTGAGAATGGTACATCCTCATGAAAGGTAACATCTATTCTCACAAGATACCTGCCTAGTGTAGGGGAATAACATTTATGCCCTTTTTGGACATGTGAATACTCCAAAAAAAAAAAAAAAAAAAAACATTTTAGCGATTTGGGGTCTAACTTTATAACATGAGGACGAACACCACTACAAAGCAAGTACAACCACACATTTTTGGATCAATAGGAAACAAAGACTTAGTGTGAAAGAGACTCTGATAAGGGGTCTTACCAAGCAAAACAAAGGATGGCATTGATAAAAAACAAAAAAAACAAAAAAAAAAAAAAAAAAAACAAAAAACAAGCAGTGGATACTGCATCATCCCAAAACTGTTTAGGAACATTCATTTGAAACAACAAGGCTCTTGAAGTTTCAAGCAAATGTCTATTCTTACGCTCAGCCACCCCATTTTGTGACAGTGTATCCACACAGGAGGTTTGATTGAGTATATCCTTTTGGATCATGTATGATGAAAAAAGAGCTGACAAATACTCTCTAGCATTATCACTTCGTAGTGTTTGAACAGAAATATTGAACTCAGTTTTAATCACAACACAAAAAAACACAAAAGTGAGTGAATAATTTTGAGTGAGTTTTTATGAAATATAACCAAGTCATACGTGAATAATCACCCCGAAAAAGTAACAAAATACTTTATTCTGTTTTAGACATAACTGGACACGGACTCCGAACATCATAATAAACCATTTCAAAAAGGGAAAATACTTGGTGTACTCCCATTTTATACTCCCAACTTGTACTCCTTCTCACATGTTCTTGATGTAGACATTTTTCTTTGGACCCACATATTGAAAATAACCAATCCTAGCTTGCCACATCAGGGAGTACAAATGAGGGAGTAGAATTTGGGAGTTCATGTAGTAGAACTCTTCAAAAAGGGAGCACTTGCTCGTTTATTGACTCTAGGACTCAAACTCACATGGTGGTGTTTAGCAAATTGACAAGACTCACAATGTGGTAAAGACACATATTTAAAATTTAAACTGCAGACACAACTGACAAAGGTAGGGATGGATGATCCAAGCGACAGTGGGCTTCAAAAGGGGAAACAACACTTGAACATGCAACAGAGTTTGGCTTCTCATTGTTTAAGATGTAGAGGAACCAGACTCATGTCCTTTACTAATAATTTGATTCGTCGTAAGATCCTGAAATACACAATATTCAGGAAAAAATGTGACACAACAATTGAGCGTACAAGTAAGCTTACTGACACCAAATTGAAGGACAAATTAGGAAAACTTAGAACATGTGACAAGTGAATGGAAGGAGTTGGAGTAATAGAGCCATATCCTAGTACTTGTGAAACAGACTCATCAACAAGAGGGACGGGAAGATTAGAAGTATTGGCTGTAAAAGTTGAGAATAGGCTAGAGTTACCTGTAATATGGTCTGTGGCTCCCGAGTCAATGACCAATTTGGAAGTGGAAGAAACAAGGCATGTGTTTGGGTTACCTGAATTGGCAACAACTGTGATAAGAGTAGTTGAAGACTTCAGTGCCTCTTGGTACTGGGTGAATTTAGCAAACTCATCTCTTGAGACTAAAACAGATTGGGTAGACACCTCATTGGTAGAAGCAACATTAGCATGTTGAACCCCTTTATACTTGTTGTGTTGCAATTTTTTACAGTCAATTTTTATGTGACCTGGCATGTGACAATAGTGATAGACAATTTCACCAGAGTTTTGCCCTTGAGCATTTCTACCATTACCTCTAACGGGTTGTCTACCGGTGTTGGTAAAAGAGTTTTTACTAATAAGTGCACCATTCAAAGGAAGTGAGTGCGAAGTCTCCGTGCGTAGTACTCGGGCAAAAGTATCTTGCAATGAAGATATTTTAGGACTGGACAAAACTTGAGATTTTGCAGTCTCAAATTTTGATGGAAGACCTGCTAAAAAGCTACTGCCATTTGTTCTCGTTGCTTTTGTTGCACCTTTATCTCATTACTAAAAGGCATTAATTGATTCAGTTACTCGTATGTATGATGTCTGTAAAACATTTTACCAGGCTGAGAAACAACATTTTATTGTGAGGATAGACTTATATTGTTTCTCAGCCCGGTAAAATGTTTTACAGACAT